TGATCACGTAAAATGCGTACTGAATTACGAATTCTTTACTTGATGTAGCATTCGATTAAGTCAGAAGTCGACAGGGTCCATTTGATTCATGTCCTAATATGGCGAATCGTCATAAGATTCCGCCAACTTCGCCGATGGAATAATTGATTTGTCTAGCTATTTCGCGAATTGTAGCGGATAAGGTAATTTAAAGTTGTGAATAGTGAGAGAGGGTCACTGCGGCTAGTAAGTAAGCTTATCACGAATATGGGATCATTATGTTCTCATCATTTTTTCCTACGAGTATATCCGAACGCGCGTACAATCTTATTTGAGATAGTTAACAAGAAACGCATGTCATACAAATCTCGTCACCGTTGAACGCAATCAAGGGAACCGCTTTTGTCAAAGTAATTTCTTTTATGGTCATGAGAGAACCAATAGTCTTTCGAATTTTAATAAATAGAAAACACTGAATGAATTTAAGTTGGATGAAACGTGTAGGGACGGGGGTTCCGTAATCGGGAAGGAGATTATTTTTTGTTTTACTTGTTTGGAATGGTTTGTTGAAACACGAATGGTCCACGATAAAATGAAATCTTGACAATAGAAAATTTTTGTTTTCTCCAAACGCATTAACAATAATTAGTTTATTAATTCGCATGTTTCGATTGACCTACTCAAAGGGGAGATTTTCATGGATTGTTCTCGCACACGGCCGTAAGCCAAGCAACCGAACCCTTGGGTTTCATGTGTACCACATTTCACACATCTAACTGGAATTTATGCCCGCATAGCCACGTCAACTAGAATTTATGGTTACAGAGTTGCAAAAGCCTCAATCACTTTGATCAAGGAAAGTGCAATAGGAAATTTTGAATAGGACTATGCAATAAAAATGTGAATTGGTGCACAAATTAAATTAATGTGTATTAATTCGGAACCTTAACATCATATGATTTTTAGCTGCAAGTGACCCATTCATTGTTAATGATTCTTTGAAGATTCATAGACAGACACATACAGATTTACGGTATAATTTGCCATGTGCGTTTCGAGGGACTTGTGCATGGACATGAAAACTATTGGTTACATGCATTATTATTATCTGAAAGTCAAAAGGTGATAAGAGATAATGGTCCGGGAGGATAATTGTAGTCATTGTATGCGTGTCTTTTTTCTCCCGGTCAAACGTGCGGGTTTTTTTCTCTGGAAATTAGTGTTTATGTTGATGTTAATTTTACTAATCGATACATACGCGTGTGATGACTCGTTGACATCATTCTGTTTATTACATCATCGTCGTCATCCGATGAAGAGAGAATAGTCAAGAAATTCCCATACGTAAATTGCTCAGGCATTTTAACGATCAATAATTGCCAATTATAGAAGGAAGAGTGCACCAAAATGTGTGCGTGTATGCGTATACTACGTAATTATAGGATTATAGAAAAACCAATTTATCGATATTGGTATCCTGTTGTACTTCGGGCCATACGCTCATACACTACTTGCATTTTCCGTTTTGATCATGGTTTACGTAAATGATACGGCCGAATAGAAACGATTTTTTTTTTTTTTTTTTTTGAAAAAAAAAAGTCTAGAGAGCGAAGCGCTTTTTTTTATTCATGTTTTTTTTTTTTTTAATTTATCTTTTGTTACATGTGATGTGGAAAAAAAAAATTTGATATACGCAAAAGAATAGGAAATTGGAATTTGAGAATTTGAAAAAAAAAAAATTGTATTATACAAAAATTGTGAATCTGATTCGTTCTTTTTTTTTTTATAGAAAAAAAAAGCGTAGTGCATTGATGCAATGTGTGCGAAGAAGTGAAAGAAGGAAATAGAAATAATAATAAAAAAAAAAAAGAGAGGGAAAGGATCGAGAAATTTTTAAATGGGTGTTTTTTTTGTTTTTTTTTTGAAAGTGTATCTGTACAATAATAATTTGTCGAGGAGTGTATGAGATTTCTTGTCGATGGCTAGCATCGAGTAAGAAACCATAATACCCATAACTTGACAATTCCCAATAATAAATATAATAAATGATGATAACACATCCCCAATATATATAATACACCCATATCTCCATCCATTCCTCCCCTTTATTCCAAAGAATATATATATATGTATGATAGTAATAATTTGACAAAAGAAAAAAAAAAAGATATTTAAATGTATAAATGATATATATAAATATAAACAATAAATAAAAGTACAAAATGTTGACTCTAAAGTGTCCAAATTTCGACTTGACATCGTTGAATATAATAGCTCAATAACCATTGCTATTCAGGGTATTCACAGCACCACCAAAAAAGTTATCGAATTCAAGTTTCGAAAGTAGGTCGGCGATTACCGGATTGTGAACAGTGGAGCTATCACGGAACTCCGAAAATCCAACATCGGTGTCACCAATATTGTTGGTCTTTTGGGGCGAGACGTTTTTGGAATCTTGAGGATAGGTGGGGGGATGATCATAAATGGTGGGTGCGGTGTCGTTATTGTTTAAGAACAACACTGAGGGGTCAACGGTTTGTTGGTGAAAGGTGTGGAAAATTGGGGGTTGTTGAAACAAAATATTGCCTTGATTTTCAACCGTTTCAGTTTGTGTTGGAACCATTCTCCATTGACCAAGAGTTTCTATGTCCATCAATTGTTGTTGTGCAGAGACAGGAGTGATCGGAGTTAACTGAATTTCATCGGCGGAGACGTTGCCATCGGTGAACGCCATGTTCAGGGGGTCAAACCGAATAGTGTTGGCGTTTGCCGATTCTAAAGGCGGAGTTATTGGATTCATTACTGCAGTGGATAGCATCGACTGAAAGTCGGTGGCAGCCATCTTTAACGTTTGGCTTTCTAATTCAAGTCTTCTTCCAAGCATGTTTACTCGATTTTGTCCTCTAGTTGATGGTCTAACAGGACCAGCTGTTGATGAGCCTTCTTGTTGACTTATGACTGGACTGGTCGATTGTTCTGGAGTAGTGGAGGCAGCTGGTTGTTTTCGTCCCGGTCTCCTCTTTCCCTTACTCTTGTTCGGTCGGTAGACATAGTTTGGATATGCTTTCATGTGTTCGAGCTTAGTTTGGTCGGCAAACCTTTCCCACTTCAAGCGAGTCTCGTTCGATTCATTTCTCCAAAGATCTGCGATATGTCTGGAGATCTCGGCGTTGGTGAGGTGGCGGTTGGCAGCTAAAATCGCTGGTTGCTTTTCTCGTCTGTAGAGAATGAAGGCATTTGGTGGTCTTGGGGGCCTTTTTTCTGCTTGTGCCTTTTGGCATCCAGGTTGATTGTTATTTTCTTTATCTCCGGGTGCGGCAGCTCCGGCAGCTATTGAAGATTCTTGGGTGTAATCCAGTGATTTGTAGTAGGGCTCCGGTTGATCGATAAAGCCTGAGAAGGAAGAGACGTAGTTATGCATTGCGTGGTCGTTGCTTCTTGATCCAGGTGCTTTGTTTGAAGCTGGAGATGTGTTGAACATCAAGAGACCGCAAAATTTGTTTCTTGCTTCAATGTCCATTTTTTTTTTTTGTTTGCTGTCAAAGAAAAAAAAAGAGAGTTAGAGAATGAGCTGAAAGTTCAAGAAATTTGATGAACATCTTAATTCCAAACAAACGACTTACAATTCACAAAAGAGAAAGTTGGATATATAAAAATATATAGTTTGTTTTAATAAATTCAAATAATATCGCTCCCAAAAGGTTGAGAAGGAAAAAGAGCTTTCGGATTTTTTTTGGAAGATGAAAGCGATATTTTTTTGGACGTTTGAAGGTTTGAAGAAAAAAATGGTTTTTTTTTCTTGTGGTTTTTGAGATTTTTAACAATTTGAACTGTGGCTCGTTAAGCATTTTTTTGATTCTTTTATAACATTTTCACCAAGTGCTGTTTCACAATTGATGCTGATCACATTTTAAAATTTTATACACAATGGATAAATTGCACCCTGGCGCCACAAAGAATGGCATTATCTATGAACATCAGATAGAATATATACATATATATGTATATAGTATATACAGTATATACATATAAAGAATGAAATCCAAATTAAAAAAAAATATAATAATAAAGAAGACACCGAACGTTTTAGAATGGCCCATTTCATCATGATAAAGTTGACCTTAACTCACGACGAGTGAGATTTGGATGGTCCAAAGTAATAACCGTATACTAGTCGCTCGGAAAATTAGCTGGATTGTGTGAAGTATGTATTGTATTCGGAGACTCAGTAAAATAATTGTGGATTCTCATTGTTGATTGGTGACATCCCAAAGAGAATACCAACAATAATTCTACGGGTGTATTATATCGAAATAAACAAATTTTATTAATTAAATTAATGGATAATAGAGGATGCATCTTGGTTTGTTTGCTAAAAAATTCAGACGTCACAGGCATTTCAGAAGGAGGTTCGCCGCAGAAAGATTCATCGTGAATAATGAGTGGGTCCATCCGAGAATGGTCAAGAAACAATTGTTCTCAACACATGATTGTCAACGTCGGTGTCTGAATTATATCCAGTTAATGAAACAATTGAATTTGAAAAGCGCGCGCGTTAGCTAAATGTTTGGAAATGTTATTGCATGAATATTTCAATGATATTACAATGGAACTGAGTGTGGCTAGAAGTAACTTTTGCACTCGATTGTCAACACGACACGAACATGTTAATGAAAAAATAAAATAAAATAAAAAAATAAAATAAATAAATAAAAAATAAAATAAAAAATAAAAAATAAATGAAAAATGAAATAAAGTCTTTTTGCGCGCATATTTCCGATAACAAGACCGTCCTTCACATCTTTATTCCGCTACCAGGTACTAAAATTGACAACCGGTAATCGGACGTCGTTGAAATTCGGTTCTCCTTTTCCTCGCAGATCGCACCACGACCACGAAGGACTTTGTCATCATATGCCCACAGAGCTCATTTAACCATAGATGAGTGCATAAAACGCACCGCACGCACCATCTCTCGTGGAATTCGTGGAAGGGATTCGACGAAACATTTACCAAATTTTAACAAGGGTAGGCGTAAACTAATTAAACTTGCATCATAATAAAACAGCATCGGGGTTCGGGGTCCAAATTATTCTTCACCACACATTTCACGAATTCCAAAAAAAGGTCACTATGTATCGTTTTCGATTTTTTAGGTTATATTCTAACAGTGTGATTAATTGTGTGCTTGCTCGTTCGTCGACCAAATCAGGGTTAGGCTTAGGCAATTGATGTTTATGGTAGAGGGAAGATGTTCCACAGAAAAAATTCTATCCGCAATTAATCGCACGAAAGATGATTGGCGCCGAATTTCTCTTTTTCTTTTTTTTTTTTTTTCTTTATTGCACTTTAAAAAATGGTCATTTGATATTTTTTCGGAGTCTTCAGGGATCGGGGCAAATATCAAGTGTTTCAAGCTGCAATTAATTAAACCTAAACCTCGGGAATTGCCAACTACAGACACTACACTATTGTTAAGAAATAAATGATATTGATTGATCCATTTTCATGTGTCGCTATCGACATCTTTCGGCTTTTCTTTTGAAATGTCCCGCATTTGGAATGCGTGATGGTTTGTGGCTCACCAAGGATTATAATTATGACAAAATTGGCATTATTCTAGTTAATCAAACTATCTGTATTGAATGTTGTGTCACCCTTCTAGCATTTGAAAGGGCGTGTTCCAGAAGTTTTCTTGGCATCAATGGCTAGGGCTACCAGTTTTTTTTGATCGACTGTACGATCACAGCCGCATAAATAAATGCCGATGCCACGGCTGATGACCAAATAGAACATTCTTTAGAAGTTTCACCACCTAAGCCGAGCATCACTTCTGCACGTTGTCGATTCTTTAGCGCTCTACTGGCAAAAGATTATGAGTAAATTTTTATTTCATTTTCATTTTGAAATTTTCTTGACCCAACGAAAGTTTAGGGCGGCGCCGTGAAGTCGTGATGGCAGATGCGCGTATTGTTCTCGTCAGCATGTCTTCATAATCGCATCACTCAATATACAGTACATGTGAATATAAATAACATTGAATACAATAGTGCCGACCAAAATAATACACAGAATGCATCAGGAGATCATAATTATGTATATATTGTTGAAGCCACAATGTAGTCATTTGGCCACAATGAAGCCATTCGTGTACAGAAACAATGGACGACAGAAAATTCCAATCGTTCCATTGATAACAGAGGTGGCAGGTGACGAGGCTTGGCTTATTTTTAGATTAATGCTATGCCGTTTAAAGGAATATTAAATGTTTGAAGGTAGAATTAATTACCGTCGACGCAAACATCAGCCCCTGCATTTTTGGCTGCAAGATGACACTCACATATGCATTTGTGCATACAATGCACCATCTTACCAAATTAGTATGATTCTATTTTAAAAACGCGCTATTGCAAATTTGAATGTCATTATGTCCTTTTGTTTGTTGTTATGCAGTACTACCCGGTAAAAAAAAAATCGTCAATGTTATAAAATATGTTCTATAAATAAAATTTTTTGAATTCGTCAATTGAGTGGTTTGCCACTGTGTTACCTCAAACCAGAGAGGTTTATCTATTACGTTCTAGCATGATTCCTTATCTGCAATGGTACACACAAATAACCGGTTTTCTATCAGGTTTCGCGAACTTTCTACGTACTCTAACCCGCCATCACCATACGCAAGAGAAAGCCACGAAAAATTCGAATTATTCCAAAATGGTAAAACTAGAGTCAAGCGAACGAATCCTCTCTCTTGCTCATTTCTCAAACCGGATTGTTCCCAATATGTCTTTTTTTTTTTTAATTGTTAATACGCCCTTTAATTAAGGGCTTCTTTAAAGACCACAATGACTTTTCATTGTTTGCTAAATTTATTATAATTGGAAATTAAGAAGAAGAAGAAAAAAAAAAAAAAAAAAAACAATAAATAAATCGTTTGCACCCGTGTTTCTGACCTCGGAGCATTTTTCATTGTCAATTTTCAATTAAAGCGTCTGTTAAACGCAAGGAATGAAATCTATGGTTCTGACCGTGGTTATCGTAAACAAGATTAACCTTCAATGTAAGGAAAAGAAGGAAACCTTAATTTATGATTTAATTGCATGACGCCCTAGTATCCTAATGTACACAAGGAGTGTACCGCTGGTTTTACTTTAAAAAATTGAAAAAAATTTATTTTTTGCAAATCAAACCTATTGATCCCTGCAGTTAATTAAACTTTAAAAAAAATCTTGATTCTTTTTTTTCATTTTTTATTCTTTCTTTTCTAATTCTAGAAATGTTTATGGATGTTGACCGCAAAGAATTGTAGCACAAGAATTTTTGTAAACATGAAAAAAAGCCCCCACTCATCTTTCGCTTAAATTGAATTTCCCAAATCGACTTACAAAACGATCGGCGAACAGATGTTCGTGATGTACGTGCGTTCCGAGTCTTATGACGTGCAAAAAGTGTTGATAATGTTGATAAAGGCGCAATAATGAAAAGGTTCATGCATCTAATTAACTTTAAATTATTTATGTTGAAAAGAAAAAGAAAAAGTATCGGAGTAAACGAATTGTGAAAATCAATGGAGTACATGCCCGTAGCACCTTGCGGTCACGCAGTTTGCTTTCGTAAATGCCGCTGCTAAAATAGGCATGCCATCATTTATTGACAAAGTGATCATGGTAGATTAATTGAATTTATTATTATTATTTATTTATTTATTTATTTATTTATTTATCTTTTATTCTATTACTTATTATCATATATTATTATTTATTTACTGTTTTTTTTTTAAAAAAATCCTGAATGATCGTTCGTTCTTAATTCACCCATATTCTGCACAACGAACCTCACGCAACGTCGATCGTCCTTGAGAATTTTCAAGAATCTCCTTCATTCAATGCAACTCTGGCCTTTCCTTTTGTAGAAATGTCCCCTTGTATGATGGTCATTAAGGTATTGTGTGCAGGTACTTTAAAATTAATCAATGAATTTGAAATCGGTATTGATGCACAAATGAAAAGTGTCGAAAGTTGGTTGTTCAATCTAACCGTTATTGTTGTAGAATAAAGAGCAACGCACTTTATTGTGAATGGTACCTATCTAAGGAATTTATAACCAGAAAATTTTTAAACCGTCACCGAAAAAAATTTTTTTTTTTTTTATACAATCATTAGAATTATCGAGTACCTTTAATGGGAATTTTTTTTCTGTTAACGTTTAACCTCGTGGGTAGCACAATCATGTAGCCAACGAAGCATGTCATCCACGACACGTAGATTTCATGATTTGTATCTGTGTAAAGAGAATATGCCTTGATATCTGCGCCCAGGCGATATGCTCGATTTTTTACAGTATGTTACGGTTGGTTGGTTTCACGACTATCCCTATCGTAAAACTGGTGACATTGAATATTCATGTGACCGTTTCACGATCATCGGGTTCACAATCCGTGTTTACTATTCTACTGTAATGCACATGTACTTGATGGTTTCTTGTGGAGCATAACATTACGCGAATCACATCATTCGCTTTTGATGCATTGCAAACAACCACCATGAGACGAGAAGAATGCCATTAAATATTGATCAGAAGAAGAAATATAGAAAAATGTAAGCATTTAAAACATATAAAAAACGAATGCTTTTATTTTGGTTGACATGATAGGGAGATTCAAGAAAAGTTGAATTTCGCCGATCATCCCATTCGCAAAAAACAATGGAATCGGATGAAATAAAAATTGAATGCCTCGGTCACGATTCCAAATGTGCTTTGCCAGACTCATCAGCAACGTTGGTAGATGATGACCGTAGACCTGAAGATTTCGAAAGAAAATTGTCGCGTAAGATTGATATTCGCTTGATGCCCATCACGGTATTAACATTTTTCGTTGCTTGCTTGGACAGATCGAACATTGGTATATATACGATATAGTTTTAGTGAAAATTCATGAATTTCAAGGGCGATGCCTTATCTTTGGTGGTGATAGTTAATTTTCTAGCGCACAATTAAAATTTTTTGACTTATCGAATCCACCTTCTCAAATGCTTGTTAAAG